GATCTCATTATGGATAGTTGTGAGCCACCATGTGGTTGCTGGGAATTGAATTCAGGACCTCTGGAAGAGCAGCCAGTGTTCTTAACCTCTGAGCCATCTCTCCAGCCCGAGAAACCCTATCTTAACCCCACCCCCAAATTTATTTACTAGCAGGTGTGGTGGTATAGCCGTTAATTCCAGAACTCAGAAAGCAGATGCAGGTGGATTTCAGGTCAGCCTGAACTACAATTAGTTCTAGAACTGCCTGGGCTACACAGAGAAACCCTGTCTTGAAAAAAACAAAAAAAAAACCAAAAACAAATAAATAAAACCTTATGTTTATGAGTGTTTTCCCTGCATGTATGTACACCAAAGCCATGCTCGGTGCCCTTGGCCCTAGATCTCCTGGAACTGGAGTTATAAGCAGTTGTGAGCTGCCATGTGAGTGCCATGTCCTCTGCAAGTGCTTTCAACTGCTGAGTCATCTCTCTGCTTCCTTTTTTTGGCGTCCAGGACAGCTTGAGATGCTCCTGTGTCAGCCTTCAGAGTGTTAGGATTGTGGGTGTCAGCATCACAGGTAGGAGGGCCCCAGTCTGGGCGATGTGTGTTGTTAGCAAGGTGTATGTACATGTGAGTGAATGAGTGTGGAGGGTGTCTTTCCTCCTCCTCTCGGTCACTTTCCATCTTATTATGTTTTGAGACAGGGTATCTCACTGAACTAGAAGCTTATGGATTAGGCTGATGAGAAATGGGCTTCAGGGGTCCTCCTGTCCCCCGACCCACACCTCCCCTCCATGTGGAGTTACAGGTCCTCAAGCTTCTGCAGTAGTCGCTTTATGACTGAGTCATCTCTTCAGCCAAACATCTGGATTTAACTGGTCCTAAGATAAGGATGGTCTTGCTCTTCTTTCTCCTCTCTCAACTTCTCTACCCACCTGGGATTAATCAAAACCAGGGACTATTCAAGTGCTCCTGGGGTAGACTTCTATCTCTTCAGACTTTGTTTCTTAGAGATCCCCAGGCATTTAACCACTTTTGAGTTAACTGCTGTGGAAACCTCAAACAGCTAGGATCACAAGTTTGCATTGCAGCGACATGCACAGACAAGTTGATGGGGTTTGTGTCACAGCCAACATGCCAGTGCCAACACCAACCACAGCCACTTCCACACTACTGCCAAGGAGCCCTTATCCATCCGTCTCTAGATGATCATATACATCACTGCTCACACCTGGTCCACAGGGAGGAAGGAGCTATGGGTTATCAAAACCAACACCCCAGAGCTCTAGCTAAGGGCTTTGAGAGCATGTTATGAAGTAACAGCTTGCTGCTCAGGGCAAACCTCACGGAGATCGGCTACCTCACAATCTGTTTCAGTAACTTCGGCTGTAAAATTAAACCAGGGCTGAGGTGCAGCTCAGTGGTGGAATGCTGGCTTAGTATGTGTGAGACCCTTCATTTGATTTCCCAGTACTATCAATACTAAAAAAAAGTATGCATAATTAATGTAATTAATGAAATGGCCCTACTTGCCAAAAATAATGAGATCTAATGAGCAAATAATTGTAACATGCTCTGTTGCATGGTGGTGCATGCCTTTGATTCCTTTAATCTCAGCATTGGAAGTCGAGGCAGACGGATCTCTTGAGTTTGGGGCCTGCCTGGTTTATAGAGTGAGTTCCAGAACAGCCAGGGCTACACAGAGAAACCCTGTCTAAAAAAAAAAAAAGAAAAGAAGAAACAAACAAATGAACTGGTGAGACAGCTCAGTGGGTAAAGATGCTTCTCATCAAGCCTGGAAATGACCTGAGTTTGGTAGGGAATGGAGGCCTCCCACAAGTTGTCCTCTGACTTCTGTGGCACAAACACATTCACCCCCAACCCCAGACCTTCCCCATTAAAATAACTGTTTAAAACACAGACACACAGACACACAGACACATAGACACACACACACACACACACACACACACACACACACACACACACACACACACACACAGAGTCTGTGACATGTCTCAGTGAGTAAAGGTACTTGCTGCCAAATCTGACAATTGGAGTTCAATCCCTAGGACCCACAAGGTAGGAATGAACCAGTTCTTCCAAGTTGCCCTCTGATCTCCACACACAAGTTGTAACATGTACACACAGACACATAAGTAATTTAAGAGAAATTCTAATAAAACAAAGCACTAGTTTGTTAAACCAGAACAAACCCCCAAACACGAGAGTGCCCCAATGACTGACAGGTAATCTGGAGGCTGCTTAAATTGATCTGCTCCTGCAGCTCAGGGCTGCTCTGGCCTCTGCCTGTTCAGTCTGGTTTGTTCACGTTTGAGTTTCTGTGAAACAGTGATCCCTGTTCTAATAAAGCAGTTTCTTCCCCGAAGCCAGTCAGTTCTGATGCTTGTGACCTGTAAACATGGCTATACATAATGAAATAACCAATGTAATGTATCTCACAATATGTTTTGTGGAATATCATGATCCAAAGGTGGTGGCCTGTGCTATAGTCTCAGTACTAAGGAGGCTGGGGCAGAACACAGTGGGGTACAGGCTAGCTTGGATTACATAGATTACAAAGCAGATTTCAGGACAGCCTGGGCTACATACGGAGACCCTGCCTTAACGTAAGAACCAAAGCCAAACATAAAAGCTTAGACCTGTCATCTCAGCACTTGGAAGGCTTAGGTTTAAGGCTAGCCTGGGCTACAATAGTGAATTCTGGACTAGTCTGAGCTACAAAGACCTTGTACTCAAAAGCTAAAAGTGGGCTAGCATAGTGGCACACACCATTATTCTTACCGCCTAGGAAACAGGGGCAGGCAAATATTAAATCCTCATGTTTGGGACAACCTGGTCTACATAGTAAGTGTCAGGTCTGCCAGGGCTACATAGTGAGACCTCATTTCCAAACAAACAATACAGGTCTGGTGGCACAGGCCTTTAATTCTAGCTCTTGGGAAGCAGGCTGATCTTTGTGAGTTCGGGATCTTTGTGAGTTCGGGCTAAGGCCAGCCTAGTTTACACAATGAGTTCTGGGTCAGCCAGGACTAAATGTCCTTTCTTTCTTCTTTTTTTTCAAGACAGGGTTTCTCTGTGTAGCCTTGGCTGTTCTGGCTCATTCTGTATACCAGGCTGGCCTCAAACTCAAGAGATCTACCTGCTTCTGCCTCCTGAGTACTGGGATTAAAGGCCTGTGCCACCACTGCCCAAAGACCCAACAAACAAAACAGGGGCAGGAGACACAGTTCAGTGGTTTGAAGGGCATTGGTTTTTCTTCCTGAGGGCCTGGGTTCAATTCCCAGCACCACATGGTGACTCACAACTGTCTGTAACTTCAGTTCCAGGGTATCTGATAAACTTTTCTGACCCCTTTGGACACCAGGCATGCAAGTGGTAAACAGACATACATTCAGGCAAAACATTCCATACACACAACATTTAAAAAACAATGCAAGTTGGGTGGTGGTGGCGCATGCCTTTAATCCCAGTACTTGGAAAGCAGAGGCAGGCAGACCTCAGTAAATTCAAAGTCAGCCTGGTCTACAAAGCAAGTTTTAGGACAACCAGGACTGTTATACAGAGAAACCCTGTCTCAAAAAAACCAAAACCCAACCAAACCCCATCCATGTACAAACACACATGACACATGAAACTCCCAAGGGCTCGGGCTGTAGCTTGACAAGATTCCTTGAATGAAATACTGGAGATAAATTTCCAGCACTGTCACAAAACCAAGATGGTAAGGCAGGAATCAAGAGTTCAAGATCATTCTCAGTTACATTAAAAAAAAAATTTAGAAAAAAAAAATAGCAAACAAGAAATTGAATATCCATCATCTTTACAGTTTAAACAAGTTTTGTTCCCGATCTGAGAATTTGATTCTGATGAGTTTCCAAGTGACATTGATGCCACTGGCTTGTAGGATTTTCCGAACAGGCCTCAATGGAGGGGGTGGTGTGGTGTTGGGAGTCCATGTGACTCTTACAACTGTGCTGTTTGTGTTTAGGATTTTACATCTCAACTATTTTAGGATTTGAACAGTATTTTGTTTTTATTTAATATTTGTGGTGGTACATGACCTTAATTCCAGCACTCTGAGACAGAGGCAGGTGAATCTCTGAATTTGAGGGCAGCCTGGTCTACATAGGGAGTTCCAGACCAGCTGGAGCTATAATAGTGAGACTTACAGAAAAAAAACAAAAAAACAAATAACATCTTTTATTTCAGTATGCTGTAATAAAAATGCTGAGTCATATTTTCATAAAGCTGTACACATACACACACAATCACGCGGCTCCCTGTTGGGCAAGTCAAAATAAAAATTATAACAATCTGGACCCAAATCTCTATACTGATTATAGTTAATACTGAATTATTCCTGGCAATGGCAACCTTTCTAATCGCTAGTGTTGGGATCATACCCAGGCCCTCATGCATGTCTAAGCATGTACTTTACTACTGCATTAAAATTCAACCTGTGTATTTTTTTCTATTTTTTATTTTCCCTTTTTTGAGACACAGGCTATTGCAGTCTCGACTGTGTATTCCCACCCCAGCCCCTCACCCCCCAGGATTTCTTTGAGTAATCCTGGGTATCCTGGAACTTGCTTTGTAGTCAGGCTGGCCTTAAACTTGGGGAATCTGCCTGCTTCTGCCTCCCAAATGCTGGGATTAAAAGGCATGCACCACCACCACCCAGCTCATATATGATTTCTAATTCTACTTGTCTCAACCTGCAAAATTAGAGCAATAGCTAGTCTCATGAAAGTCCTTCACATAATACAGTACTACTATTTCTGGTCCTTGGAGACAGGCTTTCCTCTGCTCAAGCTGCTCCTTAGCTTTACGCACCGTATTGGGGGTTACAGTCCAAAACTGCACACTTCTGATTAGATTGGGGTCTGTGTCATCTCCCCTGGTTACTCTACTTAGGGAAGTCCTGCCTACTTCATTTGAATGGAGGAATAGTGTCTGTCCCACGACCACCCTCCAGACAGCAGATGCAACAGACATGATTTACTGGTGATAATTTATTGTCTGTTAGTAGCACACAGCCCAAATATTAATCACTCAGGAAGAAGTACATTTCTATAGAAGTGGGGAACGATACATATCATTCTGTGGGTGACTGAATGCATTTAGTGATGACTTTTCAGGTTGTTTATCTTCTTCTTATGCCGCTCAATTTGTTTCTGCAGACGCTCTATCTCCTGCTCGTGGTGCTGGATCTCATCTTCATGGTGTTTCTTCAGGATAGCCAGTTGTTCTTTAGTCTTCTCTCTATATGGAGACAGCGGCTGAGGGTTTAATGTCAATCCTCCACCCAAAGAGATCTTTACTTCACTTTCATTACATTTATTTGTGTGTACAGGTGGGTGGGGGGTGGAGCTTGTGGAAATCGGTTCTTTCCTTCTACCAAGGCAGTCCCTGGCAGCAGGTTCATAGTCTTGGTTACAAAGCACTTTTACCCTGAGTCATTTCACTGACTCCCAAGGAGATCTCCAATCATAACCTGTGATACTTAAGGCAGGCAGGGTTAATGGCTCACTGGGTAACCCCAGAACCTTGAGGGCTGAGACAGGATGGATTGCTGCAAGCTTGAGGCCCGCCCAAATTCCAGTACACTTGAACTACAGAGTGAGACTGCCTTGGAAGTCCCAAACCAGGGGCTGGAGACATGGCTCAGTGGCAAAGAGCATTTGCTGTTCTTGCAAAGGACCCAGGTTCAGTTCCCAGCACTTACATGGTGGCCTACAACCATCTGTAATTCTAGTTCTAGGGGATCCAACTGTTGTCTTCGGATAAGTTCCTAATTTAAGCTTACTGAGTTGGGACTTCAAATATGGCTCAATGATTAAGAGCACTTGTTGCTCTTGCAGAGAACTCAGGTTCCATTTCTAGCACTTACACTCATATGTAACTGATGTTTCAAGGCATCTGGCTCCCACAGTTACCGGGTACTCATGTGGTATACATACATATATGCAGGCAATACACTCATGTAAGAGCTGTAGAGATGGCTCTGAGGTTAAGTTCTCTTCCAGAAGAAGCTAAATTCAATTCCTAGCACCAATTTCAGGCAGTTCACAACTCCAAGGTATCTACGAGGGTCCCCACACACTTGGGACAAGCATGCATGCATGTATACACACACACACACACTTTTTTGTTTTTCGAGACAAGGTTTCTCTGTGGCTTTGGAGGCTGTTCTGGAAGTAGCTCTTGTAGACCAGGCTGGTCTCGAAATCAGAGAGCTTTTCTTCCCTCTGCTTTCAGAGTTTCAGAGTGTTGGGATTAAAGGTATGCACTATACCTGGAATCTGCATGTATGTTTATATACCACACGCATGCACTGTCCATGTAGGCCAGAAGAGGGTGTGGGATGCCATGGAACTGGAGCTATGGAAGCTGTTAGACACCACGTGGGCACTGGCAATAGAGCCTGGTTCCTCTGGAAAAGCAGTCAGTGCTCTTAGCCCGAGTCGTCTCTCCAGCCCCTGCACACTGCTCTTGCAGAGGACCTCAGTTCGGCACCCCTTTTAGCAGCTCACAACTGCATGTAACTCCGGCTTCCCCCGACACCTAAGGACAGAGATTCCAAGCCAGGAGTGGTGGTATGCCCCTAATCCCAACATTTAGAAGGCTGAGGCAGGAGAATTGCCATCTTGACAATTGTTTTTTTTTTTTTTTTGGTACTGAGACTTGAACCCGGGCCATCTGCATGTTTAAGCTCTTAGTTCATAACTGAACGACAACCCCTATAGGCCTAGGGCAATCCTTAAGAGACCAAAGGAGAAACGGAAGCAAGATTAGTTTTGGCTGCTCTCCAGCATGGACAGAAGTTAGTTAAAGATAACTCAGGGTTGGGGAAAGTTGCAGATAGATTTAGCCCACTCCCTATTTCTAACCAGTCGGGAAAAAAAATCTATAAGGGGGGACGGTCGAGGAGGGAAAAAAATAAGTGACAGTCGAGAGAGACAGACTCAGAAGGTCTGCTTGTTCTGGCCGGCAGGATGTAAACAATGCTCAAAGCGCCTGAGGGTCTCGCACCACCAGGGGCAAGGAGGGAGAAGATAGCAACTTATATATTAGGAGACCAGCCTTGGGCTGAGTCCTGTAGACCGGTTTATGGCTGGTGGGGAGCCACTAGTGTGGTGCTGAAGTTAAATGTTTCAACCATGTTGAGACACAATGGCTTCATCGACCTGGGAATTCTGCCAGAGGATGGGTGCCCCAAGGGACCAGGTAAGGATGGGTGGGGCGACAGAGGGCGTAGAAAGGACAGGGAGGAAGATGGGGGTTGGGTTTAGGACCTGGTGAGCCTCACCGGAAGTACCGATCCTCTTCAGCCTTCTCTCTCTTTCCGAAGGCCCCACCGGCTTCTCGGATGGAGCCAGCGCTGGTGTCTATGCTCTCCGACTGCAGAGAGAGACGCTGACTTAGCAAAGGGCACAACAAGGAAGACAGGACCCGCACCCCGGGATGGGCGGTGGGTCGTGCCGCCACCTACCGAGCCCGAGCCCGAGCCGAAGCCTCGAGTTTGTAGGACCCTCACACCCCAGACTCCGAGCCGAGCCCGAATCGCCAGCGCCGAGCCTGCCATTGTCCTGCGCAGCTGCGATCGCGTCGCGGGCGTAGCAGCTTCTCTGCTAGCGCGCTAACAGCGAGGGCGGCTAAGCCGCCAATCTGAACGATGGAGAGGCGGGACTATCACGGGAACAGCGAATCAGGAATGAAAGAGGCGGGGATTCTAGCAGTCCGCTGGGAACGTCAAGGGGGGGAAGCGGGTTTACGCTTAGCCAACCGCTAATAACTTGGATTCTGGTGCATCCTGCCGATGGAGGTTTCAGAGCAGTGTGAGAAGATGAAATCTTTGCTTTTGATCTCATTAGAATAAACCATGTTGTCCACTTCCATCGTACAATTTCGGTCCTAATGTGGTTTTATTAAAATGTAAATGATGGAAATCCCTACAGACATCAATAAATCGGCGAAATACAAGGTTTGTGGTAGTTACACCTTGAATACCGACTGCAGGGGATATTGACCTCCAACATACCTACCTCTATTTGTACATACGAAATCGTGTCCATCTCTTAGGAGGTGTTCTTGTTTTTTCCTTATATTGCCACTTCATTCTCTTCTCTTACCTTAAATTTCACTTTCTCAGAGAAACCTTTTTTGACCTTCTTAGTCATTCTGTCTCTCAGTTCTCTCTTCAGTTTTCTTTATAAAGCCATCAGAGCCTTAGAGGTAGTGAATTAGAATTTGTGAAATGTATTAATATGTCGTTGAACGAAGCAGATAACAACTCTTGGTGCAATGAATAGAAAAGAACATCGAGGCACAAGCCTATGTAATTCCAGAACTCTTGGGGCACACTCAGGAAGGAAGAGCAGGCATGTTTCACCCAGCCTGTTCTGCACAGGGAATTTTGGGCCAGCCAGAGCTTCATAAGACCCAATTTTAAAACACACACACACACACACACACACACACACACACACACACACACACACACTAGTGCATGCTGCTAACCATGCTAACTGAGTTCTGTTCCTGGGCCTCTGGTGGAAAGAGATAACTGACTCTTGAAAGTTGTTCTTTGACCTCCACATGTACACTGTGGCACTGTGCCCCCATAAATACATAAGTGTCATTTTAAACATTAAATAAGAGACTCTAAACACACTAGTACATTCATGTTCATGATATCTTCCTTCCCTTTTTCTCTTTGTCCTTCGCTCCCCCATGAGATCTAGTGTAGCTCATTAGGGCTTAAAACTCCCTAGGAAGATAGCTGAAATTCCTGATCTTCTTGCCTCCCTCCCAAGTGTTGGCAGGCATGTTCCCAGCTTCACAACATTATTTCATAATAGTCCAAAGGTGAGAATACACCAAATGTTAAACTGCTGAAGGTATAAACAAATTGTAGCATAAATATACTTTTGTGGAATTTGATGAAGGCATAAAATGGAGTATATTCTTACCTAGGCGCCTCTTTGATGGACCTTAAAAATATGCTACATGAGCCAGGTGGTGGTGGTTCACTCCTTTAGTCCCAGCACTCACGAGACAGAGGCAGGTGGATCTCCAAGAGCTCAATGCCAGCCTAGTCTACAAAGTGAGTTCCAGGACAGCCAGGGCAGTTACACAGAGGAACCCTTCTTTTTTTTTTTTTTTTGGTTTTTTGAGACAGGGTTTCTCTGTATTGTTTCGGAGGCTATCGGTCCAGCCCGGCCTCGAACTCACAGAGATCCGCCTGCCTCTGCCTCCTGAGTGCTGGGATTAAAGGCGTGTGCCACCACCGCCCGGCCAGAGGAACCCTTCTTGAAAAACAAAAACAACATTAAAGAACTAAATACAAAAGGTATTTTATAAGTAGATTCCATCCTTGGGAAGTGTCCAGAATAGGTATAGCCAGAGACAACAGTTGGGTAGGAGGAAACTACTTAGTGAGTATCAAGTGTGCTGTTTTGTTTTGTTTTGTTTTGTTTGAGACAGGGTTTCTCTATGTCTGTCCTTGTCCTGGTGCTCACTCTGCACTTGGGAGGCAGAGGCAGGTGGATCTCTGTCAGTTCGAGACCACAAGCCTGGTCTACTGAGCAAGTTCCAGGACAGGCTCCAAAACAATACAGAGAAACCCTGCCTCGAAAAACCAAAAAAAAAAAAAAAAAAAAAAAAAAAAAGAAGAAGAAGAAGAACTGTACTTGTTCGTTTGTTTGTTTGAGACAGAGTTTCTCTGTGTAGCCTTGGCAGTCATGGAAATCATTCTGTAGACCAGCCTGTCCTCAAACTCAGAGATTCATCTGCCACTGCAGAGGTAGGTGGGTCTCTATGAGTTCAAGGCCAGCCTGGTCTAAAAAGTGAGTTCCAGGAGCCTGGGCTTTGTAGAGAGATCCTGCTCAAAAAACAGAAACAACAAAAGTGTGTACTGTGCTTGCATGGGCTGGCAATGACATACGTGTGAAGTCAGAAGGCAGCTTTTGGGAGTGTTTTGTTTTTTTCTTTCCACTGAGTGGGTCCCGGGGTCTTCAGGCTTGGAGACAGGAGCCTTGACCAGTTGAGCCGTCTCGAGGGGCAGTCCTTCTTTTTAATTAAAAAAAAAAAAAGTTCAGGGCAGGGCATTGGTGGCGCACGCCTTTAATCCCAGCACTTGGGAGGCAGAGGCAGGCGGATCTCTGTGAGTTCGAGGCCAGCCTAGCCTGGTCTACAAGAGCTAGTTCCAGGACAGCCTCCAAAGCCACAGAGAAACCCTGTCTCGAAAAACCAAAAAAAAAAAAAAAAAAAAAAAAAAGTTCAGTTACACCTTTAACCCCAGCATTCATGAGGCAGAGGCAGGTGAATCTCAGAGTTTGAGGCCAGCCTGGTTTACAGAGAGAGTTCCAGGACAGCTAGGGCTACACAGAGAAACCCTTTCTCAAAAAAAAAAAAAAAAAAAAAAAATGCCTGTTAGGGTCTCGGGCCCTTTAAGTGCGGCTTGGCGGCAGAGGCGGTCCAGGAAGGCGGTCTTGGAATGGTCACGTGAGACCGCGCCTGCGCAGAACGGTCACGTGCCGGCTGGCCGGGAAAATGGCGGCTTCGGGAGAGAGCGGGGTTTCGGGCGGCGGAGGCAGCACAGAGGAGGCATTTATGACCTTTTACAGCGAGGTGAGCCCGGAGTAAGATGGTGGCCTCAGGGAGACCGCGCTCCGGCTCCATCCGCAGCGGCCTGGGGCGGTGGGACGCCTCCCGGGGCCGTTGACCCGCGCCGTCCAGCCTGGGGACTGCGGACCGGCCGCGGGGTGCGTGCGCGGCCGCCACTGTGACTGCTGGGGTCCCCGGAGTGCGGCGGGGCGGCCGGGCCTACGGACCCAGACCCGGAGAGCGGCGGCAAGCTGCTTGCCGTGCTGCAGCCGGTAGGCCGTGGAGTCTGCGCTGGCGGAGGCTGGGACCTTCCCGGCGGAGACGGAGCTGCGGCGCACCTGCTTTTATTTGTAAACAGGAGGGAGGCCTTTCCCACTCCTCTGCCATGAATGTGTGAGTGGCAGTTTCTGCGGTTTACCAGTGCTGAGCACTGTTCATCGTGACAAGAATGGGTTATATGACCCACCCCCATCTTTAACATGACAAACTTAAGGAGCGTGCATAATTGCTTCTGCGACTTAGTAGTAGAAGGCAACTTGGTGTCTTGTAGGCCGGGAATGACCTGGGTCTGAGCCTTGTTTACGATTGCATCGCCAGCACCTAGTGCATGGTGGACGTTCAGCATATTTTTAGTGAATAAATGAATGGATATACTGAATCAAAGCAAGCCATTTGACGTCAGACTGAGTTCTTGCAAGGCAACTAGCCTGACTGCTGTTGGAATCTTTCCTACATCTGTGGAAGGAGGGGGGTTAATAGTACAAGAGTTTTCACGACAATTAAAGTAGAAGCAAGGCAGTCGTTTTTATGTTTTGTTTCATTTTTTGAGGCAGTCTTTTTTTAAGTCAGTGTCTTCTGTTAGTCCAGTTGGACCCTCCTGCTTTAGCCCCCAAAGTGCTGGGATTAGAGCCATTATTTCTTATGTTTATAATAGTACTAGTTATGAACTATTCTTTTTTTTATAGTGTTGACATTTTTGTTTTACTCACTGAAGAATTTCAGTCCATCTTGGTGGAGCATGTGGGCTGGGCAATTCACATCTTTTAGGCAGGAAGCAGAGAAAGAATGCCTGTGCTTTGCAGTGATTTTAAGGTGAATGTTGGGAATCAGCGCAGCCTCCATAGCCCTGTCCTTTGGTCCATTTATTTATTTGTTTGTTTTTTTATTTATTTTATTTTTCTTTTTGAGACAGCTTTGGAGGCTGTCCTGGAACTAGCTCTTGTACACTAGGCTGGCCTCGAACTCACAGAGATCCACCTGTCTCTGCCTCCCTAGTTCTGGGATTAAAGGCATGTGCCACCAAAGCCTGTCTGGTCTTTTTATTTTTAAGAGAAGTTCTCACTAAGGGCAGGCTGCTTGGAACTAGTGGTGATCCTCCTACAGGAATGAGCCGGCCTTGTCCAGCTTTATTCTTTTGCCAAGTATTAAGCCCAGGATTTTATGTATGCTAGGCAAGCTCTCCACTGACTGAGCCAATACCAAGTCCCCCATAATGGTGTTAAATGTTGCTCATAGTTCATGGTTCAGCGTACTTGAATTTTTCCTCTAAGAGTTAAAAAAGATGGATTAATTGTACCCACGTGCAGCTTTATCATCTGTGGTTCAAGGTCTGTGGAGGTGGCTATTTTTTTTTTTTTTTTTTTTGGTTTTTCGAGACAGGGTTTCTCTGTATTGTCTTGGAAGCTGTCCTGGAACTCGCTTTGTAGACCAGGCTGGCCTCGAACTCACAGAGATCCACCTGCCTCTGCCTCCCGGGTGCTGGGATTAAAGGCGTGAACCACCAACGCCCGGCTGGTGGCTATGTTTTATTGATTTTTAGTTGTTTTTTTTTTTTTTTTTTTTTGAGACAGGGCTCTCTGTGTAACAGCTCTCGATGACCTGGAATTTACTTTGAAGACCAGGCCAGCCTCAGGCTCACAGAGATCTGCCTGCCTCTGCTTCCTGAATGCTGAGACTAAAGGTGTATACCTCCCTCGCCCTGTGTGGCTGTGTTTTATTATCTGGGAATCTTCTTGATGTCTGAATGCGAGTGAAACTGTTAGGGTAAATTTCTTACAAGTTAGGTAATTGGAAACCTTGGTTTCTTATTTTTCCTATCTGTGAAGTGGGGATAATGATAATACCTGCCAAGTAGAATTGTTAACATAAATAGTAAATGTAAATTTAAAAAATTGTAGGGTATATGTGTGTTCATATATGTACATTATGGGTACAGAGGTCAGTGTCGTGTATCTTTTGCCATCCATGTTGTTACTATTATTTTTTTTTTTTTGAGACAAGCTCTTTCACTGAACCTGACTCACCGATTGGCTAGACTGGCTGTCCAGTGAGTTCTGGGGATGTACCTGTCTCCTTCCCTAGCTCTGGAGTTACAGGTGCACATGCCTATCCTCAGCTTTTATGAGGATACTGGAGATCTGAACTATTATTGTAAAATTAGTTATGTTACTGTCATCATTCTTTGGAGCTTAGTAAGGATCTTACATGTGGTAGATACAAGTAGATGTTGAGCATGTTAGTCTTGTGTTAAAGTTGATATTCAGCTTATTATCTTTACTAATGTAATTATTAATCCTTTTACTTTTAGGTGAAACAAATAGAGAAGAGAGATTCAGTTCTAACATCCAAAAATCAGATTGAAAGATTGACTCGTCCTGGTTCCTCTTACTTTAATCTGAACCCATTTGAGGTGAGCTGATTGTCACTGCAGCATCTGTGAAGAGCTTTTTGCATGTGCAGACAGAGTAACGTGTTGTCGATGCAGCATCTGTGGTAGATAGTTTTCCATAGGTGCAGACTTATGTATATACATACGGTTTTTTTTGAGACAGTGTCATGTACTCAAGATTACTTTTGAACTCCAAATCCTCCTGCTTCAACCTCCCAAATGCAGAGATTGTAGAAATGAGCCACCACACCTGGCTATTTTTGAAACAGCTACTGTGGCCTGGAGCTCACTTTACATCCCAGGTTGTCCTTAGACTGTTTGTGGTTCTCCTGACTCAGCATCTAAGTACTGGGATTACAGGTTTAAATCATTGTCCTGACTTGTAGGCAGATTTATGTTGCAGTAAACACCTAAGATACATTGATTGGAGCCGGACGTTCCAATCTTTTTTTTTTTTTTTTTTGGTTTTTCGAGACAGGGTTTCTCTGTGGCTTTGGAGGCTGTCCTGGAACTCGCTTGGTAGTCCAGGCTGGCCTCGAACTCACAGAGATCCGCTTGCCTCTGCCTCCCGAGTGCTGGGATTAAAGGCGTGCGCCACCAACGCCTGGCCGCAAAGAAAAACTTTTAAAACTTTTTTGTTACATGAAAGTAAAAGATACCAAACATTCAGTAAAAATAGAATGAAGACCATGAGAGTTTTAGAACACACTTTGTGTTTTTGAACATGTGTATCTCAAGAGTGGCTCAACCTACACTTCTCCGACCTCACCTTCCTGAGTGCTGGGAGCATAGTGTACTCCACCCACCATGTCAAGCTCTGAACATTCTTATCATCACTAATCACTGTTCTTTCATCTGTGGTAAAATGTCAAAAGTCGTTACCTCAAATCACAGTAAATTGGCAGCATATCTTCCTTTGTCTTTCCAATAAAAGGAGGCAGAGAGATTCTGGTTCTGCTCTCAATAGCACTGACAGTGTTGGGTCTGTTCCTTCAACCCAACATACACTGGTTATTTAAAAACTTCTAAAAAAATCTATGTGCTTTGTTTGCATGTATGTATATGCACCATATGCCTGCCTGGTGCCCATGGAATCTAGAAGAGGGTATCAAAGAGTTCCAGGTGGTTGCTAGTGATTGTGTGGGTGCTGGGAATCGCATATTGAACCCTCCCTCCCTCTTCCTTCTCTCTCTCCCTCTCTCTCCTTTGATTCTGGGAATCAAACTCACGGGATTTTAGATATTGGTTAAGCATTTTACCATTGTGCTTACTAGGTTGGCCCTTCTTTTTTTTTTTTTTTCCTTATTCTGTTTTGGTTTTGGTTTTTCAGGGTTTCTCTGTGTAACCCTGGCTGTCCGGAACTCACTCTCTAGACCAGGCTTGTTAAGAGAAACCTTTTCCTTGAGAGAAGCTTTCCCGCCAGCCTGGTTCTAGAGCCGCATGAGTCCCAAATAAACACACAGGAGGCTATATTAATTATGAAGCTGTTGGCCTTGCTTGTTTCTTATTGGCTACCTCTGACTTAAGTAATTACCCCATAATTGTTAATCTAAGTATTTCTCTTACCGGAGAATAGTTCCGGGCTTCCTACCCCCATGGCATTACATCTTGACTCTCTTGTGTTTCTCCTTCCCAGAGTCTTCCTGGACTCCTAGTCCCTCCTATCTAGATTCCCTATAGGCCAGACAGTGCTTTATTGACAAATGCACAGGACTTCCTCAGGCTGGCCTCAAATTCACAGAGATCCGCCTGTCTCTGCCTCCTGAGTGCTGGGATTAAAGTTGTGTGCCACCACCACCTAGCTTTTTTGTTGTTTTGAGACAGGCTCTCAGATAGCCCAGGCTGTCTCTAACCTTACTTGTGTAGCTGAGTAGATACCTGAATGCTCTGCATCAGCATCCTAAATGCTAGGATTGATGTCTTGTGTGTGTTGTTATATCCATGCTACCTGTGTTTTGCTTGTTTTTGTGGCATTTTTTTTCTTATTTTTGATTGTGAACCTATCCTTTAATGGCTGAGCCATCTCTCCACCCCCACTTTTTGGTTATTTATTTATTTATTTATCTATTTATTTTCCCTTTAAAGATGCATGCATCCATCCATCCATTGTATATGTAGTATTCTGTCTGCATGTGTCCCTGCAGTCCAGAAAAAGGTACCAGATCTCATTAGAGGTGGTTGTGAGCCACCATGTAGGTGCTGGAAATTGAACTCAGGACCTCATATATATATATATTTGCTTTATTTTTAAATCATGTAACTGTATACGTGTTTGTGGGTTTGTGTTCATGGGTCCAGATGCATGTGGAGCACGTGCAGAAGACCAGAGGTGTTGGATTCCCTGGAGCTGGAGTCACAGGTGGCTTGGACCTGAACTTTTCTTCCAGAGCAGTACATACTCTTAAACCTCTGACATCTCATTTTAATTTTTTTTAGTCAGAGTCTCTCTTTAGCTTAGGTCAGCCTGTAATCCATGACAGTTCTGCTCACCTTCCTAAATACTGAGCCCATGTTGATACCTTTACCTCACTTAGGTTCTGACACAGTATGCTCGGTAGCCTGAGTCTGAGCTTGCCCTCCTCGTCCTTTCTTGGCACTCCATGTCAGGCTATTGTTCTGTGTGGACACCCTTCTCACCCCACACTCTAGTGCTCTGCCTAAGTACTATTTCTTGTGTGGTTACATACAAGAACTCTGAACTCTGACATGTGTTCTGGACTGTGAGATTCAGTACATATCACTTCACCTGGTTTTACTTAATGGATTTAATTATATTGCTCAGGACAGAAGTGGGGTACAGAAGGTTTGTAAGTGGGGAGTATATATATAACTGCACACAACATATACTACATGCATACACGTTCTCTCCCTCCTGCCTTCTTTTCCCTTTTTTTTTTTTTTTTGAGACAGTGTCTCATGTAGCCCAGATTGGCACTGAATTTGATATAGCCAAAGATGACCTTGATTCCTGATATTCCCATGTGGCAGGAATCTAGAAATACTCCCTCGCTACCCAATTTTATGTTTTGTCTTGAAACTGTCTGCTTGTAACCAGAGCTGGCCTTGCATTGACCATCTTTCTGCCTCAGTTTTCCAGGATTCAGATGACAGATAAGGGGTCACCATGCCCAGCCTTACACTTTGATCTTGGTTCTTCCAGGTTCTTCAGATAGATCCTGAAGTGACAGATGAAGAAATAAAAAAGAGGTTTCGCCAGGTACAGTTGCTCTCGAGAGTGTGGGAGCCTTCTGTTTGTTTTTTTGTGTGTGTGGGGGTCATGGAGCTTAGGCTTGCCTAGAATTTTCCCTGTGTATCCAAGGATGGTGTTGAATTTGTGATCCTCTGCTTTTGCCTCCTGAGTTCTGAGATTGTAGGCATGTGCCACACTAGGTTTATGGGGTACTGGACATTGAACGCAGGTTTTCATATATTGTAAGACAAGCACTCTACAAATTGAACTATATCCTAGACATATAGTAACTAATGTATCGAGTATAGGTTTTTCTGTGAATATAATATTTTTAATATCCAAATAAGAGTGTCTATAGACTTCTTTTTTGTTTTTTTGAGGCAGGGCTTCTCTGTATTGTTTTGGAGGCTGTCCTGGTACTAGCTCTTGTACACCAGGCTGGTCTTGAACTCACAGAGATCCACCTGCCTCTGCCTCCCTAGTTCTGGGATTAAAGGCATGAGCCACCAACGCCCGGTTTACAGACTTACTTTTATTTGAAGCAGGATCTCATTTTGTCAGACTGACTTCAAATTCCCTGTTTATATGCTTGCCCTGCCTTAGTCTTTAAGTAACTGGGATGACAGGCACGTACCATCAGCCTATCCCAATCAGTTACTTCATCCCTTGCAAATGTCTGTAAATACACAAGAGATACCTAGCTTAGGTTTGTGAGATGACTTAACGGTAAAAGTACTTGCTGCCAACCCTGATTACCTGAGTTTGATCCCAGAGACCCACATGGTAGAAGAAGAGAGCTGACTTCAGCAAATTTTCCTTTGATCTCCACACATATCATGGCATGTGTTCATGTTTCTCAACTTACAATAAACGTAAGAAGTTTTTTTAAAAAAGAAATACCTGACTTAGTGTAACAAGTACTTATTGAAATTTTGTCAGGAAAGTAGCTCTCTGGCTTCTGATTCTTGCCACTATCTTTTTTCTTTTTTTTTTAACCTTCCTAAGTTCTTTGTATCTTCACACTTTTCACATTTGAGTGGGACCTGGCTGGTGTAGACTGTAATATTTGGATTCTGCACAGTGGTCTTATTAATATCCAGGGCTTCCTCTAGTGCAATAGATTTCTCTACATTGCTGACTCATAGTTACCTCTGATCTCCCAGCAAGTTATATTAAGCTAAGATGGTTTTTGTTTTTGCCTGCTCAGTCATTTCCCATTATATAACTTTATAGTTTTATTCTTCCTGAGCTCTGATCTTGGCTTAAATTTAGCATCCCCCAACCCCTGTTTCCAAGGTCTTGTTTTCCAATACAGTCCAATAACAGTTGTCCTTAGACTTTTCCTGTAGCCAATGAACTTGAGTTACAAGTTCTTACTGACTTGTTAGATGGCCTTATAATTGAGAGTACATATGACTTTAGTTTTAATTTGTTCTCTTACTTAGGAGCAGTGTGCACTTGAACACGTGCTTTGGACCTTTCTGTGTCTATTTTACCTCAGTTGGTAAATGTGTCCAAATATTTTATTTATTTATTTATTTATTTATTTTGTTTTTTGAGACAGGGTTTCTCTGTGGCTTTGGAGGCTGTCCTGGAACTCGCTTGGTAGTCCAGGCTGGTCTCGAACTCACAGATCTGCCTGCCTCTGCCTCCCGAGTGCTGGGATTAAAGGCGTGTGCCACCAACGCCCGGCTCATGTCCAAATATTTAAATCAGGTATTGCATTGCATACAGTAGGCTTTCAATGGATGTCTTGATACTTTGCATACAGTAGGCTTTCGATGGATGTCTTGATACTTTGCATATCCTAACCATTGCCCATGGATGTTTGTGTGCAAATTCATTCACTTCTTCCTTTCTTTTTCTTTGATCCCTCTCCTTTTCCCTTACCATTTTCTCTTTTCCATTTACTTTTCCCTGTCATCCCATCCCCATCCGCCCCTCCCCGCCTTCTTCTTTCCTATCCCACAGGGTCTCACTTTATAGCCCAGGCCAGCCCTGAACTCAATTCTCCTCCTCAGTGTTGAGATTTCAAGAATGGGCCCCTAAATTCAATTTATGCTAATCACTTGCTTTGTTCACACAACAAACTATTGAGACATAGGTACTTTGTATTTTTCTAGTGATAAAGCAGGAAGCCAAATTGAAGATACACTGAGTTACTCAAGGTCTCAGAGCTAGCATGTGATTGAAGTTAGAATTACTAACTATGTCTCTGGTATTTCAGGGATTAACATTAGATTTTCATCTCCCAACACGGATTCTTTTTTTGCTCCAACTAGTTTCTGTCCATCTGTGACAGCAAGTCAGGAGGAATCTTTTTTTTTTTTTTTTTTTTTTTTTTGGTTTTTCGAGACAGGGTTTCTCTGTGGCTTTTGGAGGCTGTCCTGGAACTCGCTTGGTAGTCCAGGCTGGTCTCGAACTCATAGAGATCCTCCTGCCTCTGCCTCCCGAGTGCTGGGATTAAAGGCGTGCGCCACCAACGCCCGGCAAGTCAGGAGGAATCTTATAAGTGTCTGAAAGAATCATCTCTGGAGGTTTTCTTTTCTTTTTTTAATAGTTTATTTATTCTGTGTGAGGGTGTCAGATCTTCAAATTGCAGACAGTTGTGAGCTGCCATGTGGGTGCTGGGAATTGAACCCAGGTCCTCTGGAAGAGCAGTCAGTGCTCTTAACTGCTGAACCATCTCTCCAATCACTGGAGGTTTTCTTATAAAAAGTTCATGTTTTGTTTATTATTTTATTATTTACTGGTGTGTGTGTGTGTGTGTGTATGAAGAGTTCCAGTCACTTCCATGAAGTGTTGATGAGCCTGACTTTTCTCTTCCATAGTTGTCTATATTGGTGCATCCTGACAAAAATCAAGATGATGCTGACAGAGCACAGAAGGCTTTTGAAGGTATTTGTAAATTTACCTGCTTTTGAGTACTATATGCTGTCAGTGCTAAGGAGTAACTGGTTATGAAGATGCTGTGGATTTCAGTAAAGCAGCATTTAAACAGAATGTTAAAGAAGTATTCCTTGGGGACTGGGGTGTAGTTCAGTGTTTGCCTAGCATGCTTGAGGCCCTGGGTTCAATCCCCAGCACTGCAAAGAAAAGTGCACCTTAACTTTGCTTGGTTAAAACTTAGGTGTATGCCAATATACTTTTATTACATAGGATCTTTTTTCTCTGAACGTAAGTAAAGCGGGAAATACTTAATCAATGTTTTAATCTAGATGTGATATGTCTAGTTGAGTATATATTTAATGTTTTTTTCTTAAGACTTTCAGAGTTGTATGCTTTTTAAAAAATGAGTTTAAGAATGGTAAATAATGTAACAAAGTAGGGAATGTTTTTTAGACAGTGCAAGTCCATTTACACTGCCTGAGTATAGCTCAGACTTTGAGAGGGTATTTGCAGAAACAGTTAACTTCAATGTTTTGCATTAGCTGTGGACAAAGCTTACAAGTTGCTACTGGATCAGGAACAAAAGAAGAGGGCCCTGGATGTAATTCAGGCAGGAAAAGAATACGTGGAACACACTGTAAGTATTTCTAGTGCTGCTGTGTTTACAGGAAGTAACAGCAAGCTGTGGGCACTGTGTAGAAGGGAATGTGCAACCCAGCAGTACTGACCACGTAGCTAGTGACCACTTTGATTCTCTCCACCACTTCCGTGGTGCTCATGAATAGCAGCAAAAGCTAGCATTCTTCTGAGAGCTCAGGGTAAGGAGTGGTTGGGACACTGGCACTCCCACTCTTGTGTTGTGTAGACAGACACTTTGGCCTCCCAACCAAGTTGTCCTGCTACCCCAGTGAGAGTGGAGAAGCAGCATGGCTGTGGCATTGTTGATGCCCTGGTTTGCTTTAGTTGCTGTGAAAGGTTTGGAAATGAGGGGTGTCCAGGAGCTTTGAGTGGATTGTAAAGCAGGAGAAGGCAGGCGCTCAGACTCATCTGAAACAAGTTACAGCGTTTGTTTGTTCGTGTAAAATGGGGTCTTGCTGGGGGTGCAGGGTATCCTTAAACTTCCAAGATAGCCAGGACTGGCCTTAAGTTCTTAACCTGCTGCCTGACCTCCTGATCATGGGATTATGAGTTGTATGCCGTTGCATCGGACAGAAGGACCATTCTTTTTTTGTTTGGATTATTTTGAGAGCCTGGAATTAGCTATGTACCTGAGGTTGACCTTAAATTTCTTTTTATGCCTGGTGATGGTGGCAGAAGCCTTTAATCCCAGCATGGATCTCTGTGAGTTTGAGGCCAGCCTGGTTTACAGAGTGAGTTCCAGGACAGCCAAGGCTACACAGAGAAGCACTGCCTTGACCCCCCCCCCCACTTTTTTTCTTTTTTTTTTTTTTAAATCTTTTAGATATATTTATTTATGTGTATGAGTGTTTTGTCTCCATGTATGTGTGTGCACCATGGGCATACCTGGTGCTCAGAGAGGTCAGAAGAGGATGTCATGATCCTCTGGAACTGGAGTTAAGAATGGTTGTGAGGTTCTGTGCTGGTGCTGGGAACTGACCCTGGATCCTGGAGCAGTAAATTCTCTTAACTACTGAGCTGTGTCTCCAGCCCCTGACCTTGCATTCTTGATCCTTCTCCACATCCAGTTGCTAGGATTATAGGCATGCGCCACCATGCCCAGCTAGAAGGCCCTCTCTCTCTCTCTCTCTCTGTCTCTCTCTCTCTCTCTCTCTCTCTCTCTCTCTCTCTCTGCCCCTTGGAGCAAGAATCTCAAGACCATTTATTTACAAGAGCGATTTCAATGGTGAGGGAATTAGGAGTCCATCTTTGTTTTGAAGAGCTTTGGAATCTGAAGTGGAACCTTATAGGCAATAATCATAAATAATTAAGACGAACCCATTTTATATGAAGACAGTGAGGAGAACAGTAGGAAAAGGAAAGGTGTACAACGGGTCCTGATGGTTGTGTTGCACATGGCACTTGTAGAATCAGTTCTGTTAGAGATCAGAAGAACCTATGCCAGAGTCCCAGTTCTCTGTATTTTGCTTGTAAAGAATTATCCTTACAATTCCTGGCCACACGGTGGCAGTAAAGTGTTTCTGAACTTGGCAGACACTTCTTTGGCTGTGTAATGGTCTCATAGGTCACTTATGGAATAGTGACAGTCTCTTGTGAATAATAATAATAATAATAACAACAACAATTGTTATTAGTATTTAAGCTAGGTAGTGGCCAGAGTCATGAGTGTATCCATTAGCGTGATGTGAAAATTATGGTTTCTGGGATTTTCACAGTAGAATGATCAGGAATGCACTTTGAGAGATCCCTTTCATAGTTAAAATGCCGTGCATTTTCTAGGTCCTTTTAAAGCTTGGCAAATGTGCTTTCTTTGCTATAACTCTGTGACCACAAGTTAAGAAAGCTAAATGGCCATGTCTAAGGCTATTGGCTATGGCTCGGCATGTGAATTGGGGACAGCTCTTCTGGTTGCCTCTCACTAGTGCTGGCTGTGGGTACAGGCTAGAGTGGACTTTAGATGAGGTTAGAGGAAGGACCCATGATTCCTAGTCTTCTTAGTTGCCTTATAGTGTTTCTGTTAAAAATGGTTACTGCCGGGCGTTGGTGGTGCACGCCTTTAATCCCAGCACTCGGGAGGCAGAGGCAGGTGGATCTCTGTGAATTAGAGGCCGGCTGGACCGACAGCCTCCAAAACAATACAGAGAAACCCTGTCTCGTAAAACCAAAAAGAAAAAAAAATTATGGTTACTATTATTATTGGTGGTACAAGAGGAGGCTCTTTTGCCTTCATCTTTTTATCCTTTGCCTATAGAAAAGTGCACATAATACAGGTCAGTGGCTATTCTTAAAGTATGATTGCTCATCTTTTGATGGAAAAAAATTCTTTTTAGGTTAAAGAGAGAAAAAAACAACTAAAAAAGGAAGGAAAACCTACAAATGTAGAGGAAGATGATCCAGAACTGGTGAGTTATTGGGAAACCACTTTTCCTATGTGATTGATGGGCTGAAGAGAAAGGCCTCACTTAAAACATACAAGCAGACAAAAAAATTCATCCTGTGTAGGTATGTTTGTCTTGTGTCTGTGTTACATGCATGGTATGCATGCATATGTGTTCATGTGTGTACACATGCACAGAAGCCCAGAAGGTATTAGACAGGATCTTTCACCTAATGCCCTGGAGCTAGGCTGGTGGCCAGCAATCACCACTGACTGTGCTGTCCCTGACCTAAGCATTAGGTTACAGGCATGTCTAGCATATTTAGCTTTTTACAAGAGTGCTGGAGAGTCTAACTCAGGTTTTCATGCTTGCATAGCAGGTACTCTTACCCGCTTCCCATCTCCATCAGCCCTCTGAGTGTATGCCTGGTATCTTCAGAGGCCAGCAGAGGGCATTGGCTCTCCTGGGACTGGAGTTACACACAGTTGTGAGCTGGGTTCTCTGGAAAAGCAGCCAGTGTTCTTAATCACTGAGCCACTATTAATCATCACTCTAGCTCACTGCTTAGAGTTGTTGTTGTTTTTTTTTTTTTCAAGACAAGTTTTCTCTGTGTAGCCTACCTATCCTGAAACACTCAGTTTGTAGAACAGACTGGCCTTGAACTCACAGAGATCCACCTGCCTCCCAAGTGCTGGGATTACAGAGGTGGCTCACTGGTTAAGAGCATGTATTACTTAGGCAGAGAACTTGAGTTTGATTCCCAGCACCTACATGGTGGCTCACAACTGCCTGTAACTCCAGCTCCAATGGATGACACCCTCTTCTAGACTTGATGGACACCTGCAGTTACATGTGCACACACCTATGTACAATCACTCGGGTATACACATAGTTAAAAGTAAGTCTTGAAAAAAAATAATGGGTGGCGGCGGCAGTGTACACCTTTAATCTCAGCACTTGGGAGGCAGAGGCAGCTAGATTTCTGTCTACAGACTGAGTTCCGGAATAGCCAAGGCTGCACAGAGAAAACTCTGTCTCTGAAAACTGAAAAAAGAAAAAAAAGGAGAAAGAGAAAGAAATAAGGAGCTGGTGAGATGGCTCTTGTTGCTCTTGCAGAAGACCTGGGTTTAGTTCCTAGTACCCATGTGGTGGTTCACAACCACCCGTAACTCCAATTCCAGGGGATCCAATGCCTTCTTCTTACCTCTGTAGACAGTGCACACACAAGATGCACACACATACTCATGCATATAAAATAATACATTAAAAACAGATAGAGGAGATGCCTAGTCTCACTGCAGCCTGCTATACCATAAACTGACTGATATCCATTACTGACCCTCCCCTATCTGAAGAGAAACAGTGGAGGAGGCGTGGATGGGAGTGGGGAGGAGAGGTGTGGGAAGGAACTGGGAAGAGAGGAGAGGGGAAACTGGTTGCATGTAAAAACAAAACGAAACAAGAAAGAAAAACCGTCATGAGTGTGGTGTACTGGTACATGCCTGTAATTCCAGCAGTTAGGAGACCAAGACAGGATTGCCTTGAGTTTAAGCCCAACTTGGGCCACATAGTTAATCCTGTTTGCAAAAATCACCCCTGCAACTGTGTAGTGGGATCTGGGTCATTTATCTTTACTTGATTTTCTTTAACTCATAAATTATAATAATCTTTGCTATAATAGCAGCTAACATAGTTAAAGGAGTCAGCATGGGTTGGGGTTTGTTTAATTTGGTGGTAGAAGTCTTACTTCCAAACCTGGGTTTCATCCCCTGTACTGTAAAAACCAGTAGGGCTATTTGCCTTTTATCTTCCTTTCCTTTTTTAAAGATTTATTCATTTATTTATTTTATGTACATTGGTGTTATGTCAGCATGTATGTCTGTGCGAGGGTGTCAGATCACCTGGAACTGGAGTTACAGACAGTTGTATGTACACCATATGGGTGCTGGGAATTGAACCTGGTTCTTCTGGAAGAGTAGCTGGCTCTCCTAACCACTGAGATATCTTTCTAGCCCCATCTTTATGTTTTCTGTGTGATGCTGTTATATTGTCCATTAGTGTATCTGCATCTTAGAGTGTGATGTGAACTGGTTATAGAGACACAAAATGACTTGTTCAGGGTAGAACATGTTGTATCCTGTATGGCATCCTGGGCGGGGTGAGTGCATGCATGTGTCCCGCTAGCATGGAAGCTCTGCGCCATGTGTCCTTCAAGGTCTTGGCTCTTATATGACTCTGGCAATGAGGATGTGGCCCCCATCTTCCTGGCTTGGGTGTCTCATCATCCCACTCATGTGCCAAACAACAGAATAAAGGGGAGAAGGCTTATGCCACTCCTTCTAAAAACATCCTAGATGTTACATATGAGTACATTGACTAAACCCTGAGTCACATGGCCAAACCTATAAGGAAGTCTGGGGATTGTGGGCTTTTATGCTTAGTGGCTTTGTCCCTCAAGGCAGGTTTTCAATTGTGGCAGAGCCATCTATGTTGGATTCAGCTTGGTTTTAGCCACTCAATCAAAATTATAAAATATTTGTGAGAAGGAAAGTAGAAGTTAGTCCTAGGGAATTTTTGCAGAAGAGTGCCTCCAAAATCTCAGTGGCCTAAGTGCTTATGTGCTTTCTCCCAGAACCAAGTTCCTGATCTGCTTGGTAGGAAAGGAAAGGTCTCCTAGGCAGGAGGCTTTTTTCCCTGAAGAGACAGTGTTGTAATGACATCTCCCTGCAGACATTGCATTACCCAGTTGTAATCTTTAGGGCTTTAATGTAATTGCTTGCTTTCAGCGTTGATGTGAAATGTTTACTTTTATTTTCCTTTGTCCTTAATTTTCTTGCAGTTCAAACAGGCAGTCTACAAACAGACCATGAAACTGTTTGCTGAGCTGGAAATTAAAAGGAAAGAGAGAGAAGCCAAAGAAATGCATGAAAGGTACACATTGCTGTAGTCATCTTCACCTCACTTAAATGCACAGATTAGCTAATACAGGCCTCTGGGAATTTTCCTAATGAATTTGATAATGCTTCATTTACAAGAAGAAGCTGGAGAAGCAGGCAGGCAGGCAGGCAGGCAGGCAGGCAGGCAGGCAGGCAGGCAGGCGTACGTCTTGGTGCTGGAGCTCCTGCCCAGCATACACAAGATAGGCTGTCTGAGCCAGTCACCCGTAAGACACTGCCTGTAGACTTTTGGGAAATACTGACTACACCTGTCTGTAGGGAATTCAGTTCTATGGAGGAGTGTACTGTGTTTTCTTCCTTTCTGGGATACAGTAGAATTTTTGAGGCCACAATCTTTTCTAAGCCTTGTAGCTGCAGCTGTGATTCATAGATAGGATTGTAACAATAGCTTTAACTTGTTCCTTATTGTTCTCAAGTATGATTTCCTCTGATTGTCAGAATGTTGAGGTTGCCAGTTGGGGTGGTACACACCCTGTAGTCCCAGCACTTGCGAGGTACAGGCAGAAAAAAAAGCAGTTGGAGACTTTTCGACTAAATAGCAAGTTCAAGGCCAATTTGAATTATATGAGACCTAGTCTCAGGAAAAAAAAAAAAGGAGATAATTGAGGTCAATGTGGCTTCTGTATTTTGTGTTGTTGACTGGAGTAATTAGATTTTGCTAGTTGAGTTTGTATGAAGTGTCATTTTAGGGTTGGGTTTTTGTCATCTGTGTGTTTTAGGATGAGGTTTCGGCATTTGCTGGCTCAAGACTCTCTGTGTGCAGCTATGCAGCTGTGCTTTAGCTCATGTGAGTAACTCGCTGTGAGCATCGGGTAAAGACAGCTCTGCTTTCCCTCCTAGGAAACGACAGAGAGAAGAGGAGATCGAAGCTCAAGAGAAAGCCAAGCGAGAAAGGGAATGGCAGAAAAACTTTGAGGTGGGTGGCAGAGGTGGTCGTTCCAGAATAAGGAAGCTTGATTCCTGGGGGCTCCAGGTTTGCCTGGGGCAGACCGGGAAATGGATGTGTGGGTGAGAATAGGGTCTGGGGTCACCTCACCTTCATAACTCTTTCCCTGACATGTACACCGATAGACACCGCTACCAAATGAGCCCAAGAAAAATGAATTCAGAGATAATACAAAGTAGCACCCTAGTTAGCTTAGAGGAGAAAAATGTGTGGAAACAGGTTCTTTTGTGGGCGGGGAGTTGAGGTTGAGACAAGTTCTCATATAGTTCTGTCTGACTTTGAACTCACTATGTAGCTGATAAAGACTTTGAATTTCTTCTGATCATCCTGCCTCAGCCTCCCAAATATTGGGATTAATGTGTAAACCACTGGAAACAGGTTCTTGTGATTCAATTTTTCATTTGCAGAGAGTCTTCTGGCATTTTGTTTTTGGGATTTTGAGACAGACTCACTACGTAGCCCAAGTATCTTGGAACTCACTATGTAGCCTAAGCTGGCTTTGAACTCTTGATGAGCCTCTTACCTTAGCCACACCAGCTGGGATTACAGGTGTATGCCACCACAGCTCACCTTGCAGCTTTTGAACTGGATTGCTTGCTCTCCAGGTGCCTGACAAAGCTCTGGGTGTGTTTGGTCTGTCTTATAGGATTTAAAATTCAGGGTAGAGCTTAGTTAACCATAATTTTGACTTTGTTTCTATCCAGCTTTATGAAAAGGGAAAATGCCAGGCAGTGGTGGCACATGCCTTTAATCCCAGCACTTGGGAGGCAGAGGCAGGCAGATTTCTGTGAGTTTGAGGCCAGCCTGGTCTTCAAAGAGAGTTCCAGATCAGGCTCCAAAACAATACAGAGAAACTCTGTCTCGGAAAAAAAAAAAACAAAAGAAAGAAAAGGGAAAATGAGTAGCCCATTTGATAATGTGGTAGAGATCTTTGTGGCCAGAGATCAGCTGGTTTGGAGACATTTCTGTGAAATTGTCAGAGATGTAGCAGGAACATGGTGAACAAAGTGTGGCTATACCCGCAGCTAGCTCCAGGTTGGGAAAGCTAGTCAACCTTCCATCATTGTAGTCCTCTTTAATGCACACTGTAGTCTGGCTTTTTGTAAGGGTTAGAAGAAACAAGCCAGGGTCAGGCATGACGGGGCATCTCTTCAGTTCTAGCACTCAGGAGGCGGAGGCAGGCAATTCTCTGAAAATTCAAAGCCAGCCTGGTCTACATAGTGAGTGAGCTCCAGGCCAGCCACGGCTATGTGTAGTGAAACCCTGTCCTTAATAAAAACCAGGTAGTGGGTAGCTCATGCATTAAATCCCAGCACTCAGGAGGCAGAGGCAGGCGGATCTCAAGAGTTCGAGGTCAGCCTGGTCTACAGAGTTCCAAGACAGCTAGGACTGTTAGACAGAAGCCCTGTCTCAAAAAAGCAAACAAAAAGTAACAAGCTAGCTCTGGGGGTGTAGCTCAGCAGTGGAAACATAACAGAAGGATTTGTGTGGATCACCCGCCCCGAGGTCCACGATAAATGATAGCATCGCCCATCGTGTTCTCTTTAGAGCTGCTTTGAGAGGGTGCTGTTTTGCCGGGTCTCTAGAGGTGGGAGACTGCTCTGATCTGCTCTCCTTCTCGACTGTCCCGAGGGCTGCTCTGGGCTGGGCCATGGGAGGGCAGAGGGCTGCAGGACAGGCACAGTCCCTTCTTTGCTCATTAGGGACCTCACCTTGAACTTCCTTTCTGTTTCATTCAGGAAAGCCGGGATGGGCGAGTGGACAGTTGGCGGAATTTCCAGGCAAATACAAAGGGGAAGAAGGAGAAGAAGAATCGGACCTTCCTTCGGCCACCCAAAGTAAAGATGGAACAGCGAGAGTGACGGTCAGGGCCACAGCCACAGCCCTCCCCGGCTGCCTCCTTCTGCTTCAAGGACTCATTCCTTCTCCACCTCCACCCAACATAGAGTAGTGTTTGCTTTTAGTCTATTTTGTTTTCAATACAATTTAATATCAATCAAAGTAATTTGTACATGAAAGGAGGGGCTTGGTCTAACCTTCCCCTCTCCTCACCCACGGAACCACTGGGATCAGAAGGTGCCACTGACTCATGCTGCCTTCTTTTCCCACAGCTGTAACTTAATGTTTTGTATTTCACTGAATTGTGGCGGCTCGAAGGTCATGTATAGTTTGTGGAAATCCTCCAATTAAACGTCTTGCTTACAGTGGTGTTGCCGTGACTCCAGACCAGCCTTGGCCACCGTGGGAAGCGTGGGAAGCCCTTTGCTTGCTTTTGGGCGTGCTGTCCTTGAAGCCCTAGATCCAGTAGGAGAGGCATTGTGGACTCACAGGGCGGCCCCTTGATGCCCTGATGAGTGTCCTGTGGTGCCTGGCACGAGTCCTCTGACTGACTAATCAGCCAGAGTGGTCTGAAGCTACCAGCCACTTAAACCTGTTCACTTTCCAAAGAGTGAGCCATCTTCCAGTCCACTGTGTCCTCGCTTGTCTGCATTCATTAGTGGTAATATTCTTTTACATATAATAAATTTTTATACCCAAGCCTTTGATGTTCTCTTCCTCAGGTGTAACTCCAAGAGCAGACAGGTCCATTATCCTGCATGGCCCAGCCCTGAAAGTGCCTTGTGGTTGGATGTACATAGCTTCTATACTAATTGGTTGAACCTTCTTTGCCTACAAAATGGGCCTACAGGGCTGGGGGTGTACTCTGGTGGAATGCTCATGTGTGAGGTTCTAGATTCAACCCTCAGAACAGCAAAAATAAGGAATATCAAGTATGGCAGGAAGCTTACTGGGATGTAGTTTAGTAGTGGGGTCCCCTACAATATGGCCAGAAATTTTGATTGATTTTACTGTAGGAACTTCCGAATGGATCACTGCACATCTGACAGCCACCAGACTGTCCACGATGGGCGTTGTCAGTGTGGTGTCTGGAGAGTAAGACACCACTCTCTTGGATGAAGTGAAGTAGTGTGTGAAAGCAACCGCCTTCTAGTATGTGCTCAGGCGTCCTGCTTGCTGTGGGAGGGGCTAAACAGGAGTAGAAAGGCCACACATGCACTGAGATGGCTTGGGAAACAGTGACTGAAGATGTCTGTGCTGCAGCCTGTAATATGTCCGGGCGGGATGGCCACAGAAGGTGCGGTGCCCACGCCTTCGACTTGTTCCTCGTGGGTGGAGCTGGGCCTTGGCTCTACTACCAAGGTACTATAGGTACCGCTGGGCATGTCCAAACCACACAAGATAATGATAACACCAAACCACGGTAGAGTTGGGGGAAGTGTTTGGTCACTGTAGAACTGCCGCACGCACGTCCTGAGGTGATGAAGGTGGTCCTGGGCAGGGAGAGTGCCGTTCCTCCCGTCATACAGGGCTCACACATACATTAAAGGGCTTGAGATCCCGATTTGGCTCAGAAGACCATGGCAGCAGTTAGCCACGGTCGTGCTTAAGGCTGACGTGGAAATGAAACACTTGGGGACCTCTGCTGAACGCCTCACGGCTGAGGAACAGTGAGCAGGTACAGAGGCTGAGGAAGGCATGTACTTGCTACTCTGGAGGCCCTTGCTCTTGTCCTTGGCAGCCAGGGAATGCGGTCTTGGAGAAACTGATGTTCACTACATCTTCAGGTGGAGGATAAAATTGCAGTGTTTGTTCCCCTATATCTGGAGGGAGGAGTTTCAGGTATTCCCAGCTTCTGTGACACCAAGGAAGTGGGAGGGATTGTCATCTTAGTTACAGGAAGCTTGTGGTGACACCACACCTTAACAACCACCAAGTGAAAGGTTCAGGAAGCAGTGTCCCCTTATGTGGTTGTCCCACAAATGGGTCTGAGGATATCCCTAGTGAATATGAGAAGACCTGTTCTTTGGGTTGGGCACCTACAGTTCCCAAAGAGATTTACATTTGTCATTGAGAATCTTCTGAGCAGTTCGCAGTGGCACAGCTGGAGAGGACTTGAGGGGAAGAGGAGAGGTCAGGAACAGCAAACCTAAATGACTAGTAGTGAGGTCATACCCAGGAATACTCTACTCTGTGGGGATCATGGGGACCAGGGAGGCAGGATCTGGAGTTCAAGTCGCCTTCAGCTCTTCGGGTTTCAGTAAAGAGGGTATTTTCTAGAAGGAAGTCCATTTCCTTTCTGCCAGTTTAGCCATACACTGACCTGTAAGAGCAGCAATGGCCCTCACCTGGGCATAACCCTGCCCAGAACAACTTTCTCTGGTGAACCAGCTAAAGAGAGTGCCTTGGCACTAAACTGAGGTCTCACAGTCATGTCTGGTGTCTAGGGCAGGACCTCTGTAGCTCCTTGTCCCCCAGAGAGGGAAAGGGGAGCTCTAGGCAGTAAGGCTCACTGGGGGTTGCTGAAAGAGCCCTCCACGCCTCTTCTGTGGTTTGCCGTGAGTCACAAGCTACCACCCCACACCTTCCATGACAGACAGTCAACTGCTTCCTGGGCACAGGTAAAGCGGAAGGAGTCGGTGAGCTAGGGTGAGGATCTTGGTATTTGAGTCACTAATGTCGACACGCCTTGGCTTCCGCTGTGAAGTAGCGATTGTGCCTTGCAAGCCAGCTATTGCAGGCAGCTAGTCATTCCTTTGGCAGTCTAGTCAGATGAGGAGGTGGAAGGAGAGAGGGATAAGTTTCAGTGCAGAAGTTGGAACTCCAGACAAGACCTTGGCCCTTGTGAGAGCTGTGGTCTGTGGCTTCCCCCAGACTGATGGCTACTCAGAGAAAGGCTTGTCTACCTTCCTCTCGGCTGAAGTTGCTTCAGAAGGCGGGCGTGTCTCCTAACAGGCTAGTCATCCCCAAAGGCAGGGTTACCAATTTTCCTGGCTAGGAGTGCCTATGGTATCTGATCCTCGCTGTGTCCCCTCAGTCAGGTGTCTCCTATTATCAGCTTTGAGGCTTTTCTGTCATGGGGCTCACTGGATTTAGGACTGTCTTGTTGATGTTTGGGCTCCTGAGGACAATGCTGCAATCTTCTATAGCTGGGCCCTTCTAACCCTCAGACAAGAAGTAGGATACTTTAGTTTTCTCCTTCCCCAGGCCTGGCTCTCCCAGAGGGGCTCAGCCTCAGATGGGTGGGTGTATTTCTGGTGACCTTAGGGTTGGGGCTCCACCCAAGGAACTAGCTAGCTTCCTGGCCTCAGGTGCCCTGTCTGCTCAACAGAGCCGGCAAGCAAGCTTCCCCTAATTCTCCATCCTACTGACACCCTGGAACAAACAGGGATTGGAAAGCAGAATACAGTGAGTCACACACTTGGGTCTGGGCCTGCCTTTGGCTTACTCCTCCCTCATTCTCTACCCTGCTTCCTGAGCTCTGAGGAATCCTCAAGGAAACATGCTCTCAAGAAAGTGGGTTCTCAGTGGCCTCCAGCCTGCAGCCCTCTCACCTCTTAGACCAGCGTTCCCACCACGGCTTAGGTAAGAAGCAAATGGTCTGAATGAGATTCAGTTGTAACTGTGTGTGTGGCTGACCCAAAGACCATCAGGCTTTGGATGGGTCTTCAGAGCTAGGTTATGTCAAATTTACCCTCACTAGTCCCACTATGGGGATGCACTCTAGTGCGTACACACACACACACACACACACACACACACACACACACACACACACACACACACCACATCCTTTCAGTTCTCAGATCTTTAGCAATGAACAAACAGCTTTTTTCTCATACACAGCATACACAATACAGTTGTGTGTGGGTGCAAGTCTGTAGTGGATAGAGGCAGGGGGATCAGGAGCTCAAGGTCGTCCTCAGCTCTATAGCAATTATGAGGTCACAGAGCTACATGAGACCCTATTAAAAAGATCAGGGCTGGAGAGATGGGTAGTTCAGTGGTTAGGAGCAAATACTACTCTTGAAGAGGACCTGATTTTTGTTCCCAGAACCCATGTATAGTGATGCATTATTTATTATTTATTAATGCTTGCCCGAAGATTCAGAAAGCAAAGTCAGCCACAAGCCATAGAAGCCAGGCACACACCTTTAATCCTAGCTGCCAGAAGCTAGGAGGTGGTGGTACACACCTTTAATTCTAGGACTCAGGATTAAGAGGTAGACAGATCTCTGTGACTCCAGGCCACCCAGATCTACACAAGATTGAATGAGTCTAAAAGAGAATTATAGCTCACATTTTAAGCTCAACATTAGGAAAGTATATAAGACAGAATTAAGGTCTCAGAGAGGCATTCGTTCTCCATCCATGCTGAGGGAAGGTTATAGTCTGAAGCTTGATGAGAACTGGTAGAGACAGGACCAGCCCATTCAGCCTGAGGTAGAGGTAAGAAACTAATGGCCAGTTGCTTTGTTTTTTTTTGATATTCAGCTTGAAGCTTGAACACCAATATCAGTCTCTAGGTCATTTATTTATTCATGTTACATATTGGCACCCAACCATGTCAGATAGCTCAAAGCTCCAGCTCCAATGGGGATCGATGCTTTCTTCAGCTCTTAGAAGTTACTTGCACTCAAGTGCACGAACACACAGAGATACATGTATACACATAATTACAAAAAATAAGATCTAAGCCGTGCTTTGGTGGCTCACACCTTTAATCCCAGCACTCGGGAGGCAGAGGCAGGTGGATCTCTGTGAGTTCAAGGTCAGCCTGGTCTACAAATCGAGTTTCAGGACAACCTCCAAAGCCACAGAGAAATCCTGTCTCGAAAAACCAATAAAAATAAAAATAAAATCTAATAGGGCGGTGGTGGCTCATGCCTTTAATCCCAGCACTTGGGAGGCAGAGGCAGGTGGATCTCTCTGAGTTCGAGGCCAGCCTGGTCTACAAAGAGGGTTCAGTATAGCTAGGGCTACACAGAGAAACCCTGTCTTGAAAAACCAAAAATAAATAAATAAATAAATAAAAAGTAAAATGAAATCTTGGGCTGGAGAGACGACTCAGTACTTAAGAGCATGTGCTCTTCCTGCAGAGAGCCTGAGTTCAGTGTTCAGTTTCCTGAATCCATGTCAGGTGACTCACAACCTGTAACTCCAACTGCAGGGGGTTAGATAACCCTACACACACACACACACACACACACACACACACACACGCACGCACGCACGCACGCACGCACGCACGCACACACAAAACATATGATTTAAAATAAATACAACTTAAAAATCCACTCCCCCCAGGGCTGGAGAGATGGCTCAGAGGTTAAGAGAACTGACTGCTCTTCCAGGAGTCCTGAGTTCGATTCCCAGCAACCACATGGTGGCTCACAACCATCTACAATTCAATTTGGTGCCCTCTTCTGGCATGTAGGAAGAACAGTGTATATGTAATAAATAAATAAATCTTAAAAAAAAACCCACCCCTCCTAAAAAATAGCCAGGCAGTGATAGCACACACTTTTAATCCCAGTGCTTGGGAGGCAGAGGTAGACTCATCTCTGTAAGTTTGAATCTAGTCTGGTCTTCAGAACTAATTCCAGGATCAACAAGGCTATACAAAGAAACCCTCTCTCAAAACAGCAACCCCCCCAAACCAGAAAAACTTAAAAAAACACAGCATTCCCCTCTACACACCCACATAGACACAACACGCCCTTGTTATCCACAGATAGATCCCATAACCACTCACTAGAAAACAATACATAGATTGTTATCAACTGGCACAATGTCTCTGTTGATCATTTGCAGGATGAAACACATATCTGAATGCTGTAACTTTGTATTAAGACCTGACAGGGAGAAACATATCATACCTTCTGGCTTGTGTGTGCTGATTCTTCAGGAAGTTGTTGACTATTCTTGGATCTTTGCTTTTTCATTTGGGATTTAAGCAGTCAACTTGTGAAGTTCCTTGGAAGATTCTCTTGGGATATGAATGTGTGTGTGCCTCATGCACATGGGTGTGCTCATGTGCAAACCCATGCACAGGTATACGGAAGCCAAAGAAGGATGTTAAGTGTCTATCACTGCAATTTATTTTATTTTATTTCAAGACAGGGTTTCTCTGCGTATTCCTGGCTGCCCTGGAACTCTCTTTGTAGACCAGGCTGGCCTCGAGTAAGTGCTGCGATTAAAGGCATAAGGCCCTGCAGCTAGTTTTGAACTCAGTATGTAGCCAAGAATGATTTTGAACCCCTGACCACCTGTCTCCACCTTTCAAGTGCTGGAATTATACATTCAAGCCACATATACAGTTGTTTTAATTCTTTGGGGCTGAAGCACATGTTAATGATGCTTTGACCTGTAAGGAGCCATTTTATCATTGTTGAGGAACATCAACGTAATCGGAACAGAGCAAGGCGCTAGCTAGCCCAGCTACTGGGAACTGAGTTTGGGCAGTGTGTGGAGAACCCCTGCCCTCTTGGCTCTGTTTTGCCATGTGTCACTGTGAGACAGACTCTGGTCCTTTCTGGGCTTCAGTTTCCCACAGTGTGTAGGAGGGTGTTGGCTCCACTAGTACCTGGTGTCGACTGCTGGTTAGCTGGCTGAATCAATAAATGCTACACAGAAGGAAACCAAAGCAAGGGGCTCTGGCTTCTCTCTCGTTGTGGGCTTGGAAGTCCTCACACAAACTCACTGGTGTTCCACCCGAGCGGCCCACACCTCTTCACCCTCCCTCATTCCCACCAACTCCCTTGCGGCTAACTGCACTCACTTGCAGCTAACCTCTGGCTCAGGGACTTGAGAAGTTTCCTCCTTCCTCCAGCCCGGTGGCTCTGTGTTCCTTCCCATGGGTGTCTTGGGCCCAGTGCTTGTTGGTCACCAGGGATGCCCTGCCCAGTCTTAATGAGCACAGCTGTACTTCCAGCTCTCGATTCTCATCCCTTTCCTCGTCTAATGGCCTCTCCCTTTCTCCCTTCCCTACAGAGGTACAGGCACTCACATGTTCATCCGCGCACACTCGGCACACACTCTCTGTAGCTCGTGCTTTTCTCTTGTCACCCCCTTGGTCTCTGTCTCTGTCCCCTCTCATCCCTCTCACGCATTCCTGTTTACATCAGTTGTCCCCCCCCTCCTCCATCTCTTCCCCACGCCAGCTCCTCTCCCTTCTGACTCTCTCTCCCCCTCCTCCTGTGCTAACTTGTTATTCTGACCACTCCCCCCTCCCTCCCCTCCCTCATCCTGGCCCAGTGGCTGCTGCTCATACCCACTCTGCCCCTTGCTTGTTCTGCAGGAGGCCTCTGCAGTACTCAGGTCTGGCAAGCTCAGCTTGGAGGTTCCTGTGGCATCCGTTGGAGGGGCCCTGGGTCACTGTGTTTCCTCCCGGGGGTGACTTGGCAGTGCGAGGCTCTGTTTCCTCACTTCTGCATTTGCCAGGCTACGACACAGAGGCTAGCGCTGGGGCTTAGACCCGGAGGGACACGCAGAGCCTACAGTGAGAAGTCTACAGGTAAGGAAGGACCCAGTCCCAGCTGGGCAAGGGAGAACCCTACACAGATGTCCTCAGGAGGCCAAAGTCATGGCCCCAGGCCACACTAGAGCGGACGGATGGCTGGAGTTTTAAAGAACCAATCTGGCATCTTTCTCAGGCTTCATGTTTAAAAAGAGCTTTTTTTCTTTTTTTTTTTTTCTGCACACCAGGCCAGACCCAGGACCTCATGCATGCTTGGGCCATGCTCTACCACGGAGCTCCGTCGTTAGCCCTCTTTTATTTTTATTACTTTTTATTTGCTCATTGTGTGTATTTGTGTGTGTCTCACAGTGACGTGTATCAGTCAGAGGACAGTTTGTGGGCGTCAGTTCTCTCCTTCCCTTGTCTATGTCCTGGGAATTGACTTTAGTTCTGCGGCTTAGCAGCAGGTGCCTTTACACTGAGCTTTTGTTTTACATCAGGTTCTTGCAAACTCCTGAGGCTGGCCTTGAACTCACTGTGTAGCACAGGCAAGTCTTGGATTTTTTTTTACTTTTTAAAGATTTATTATATTATTTTATTGTATTATTTTATGTATGAGTGTTCTGCCTGTCCATATGTATGCTCGCCATGTGTGTGTCTGGTGCAGAAGGAGTTGAGAAGAAGGTGTTGGGCCCCTAGAACTGGAGTTAGAGTTGGTTGTGAGCCACCATGCAGGTGCTGGGAACAGAACCTGGGTCATCTCCAAGGGCAGTTGGTGCTCTTAACCCCTGAGCTATCTCTCCAGCCCCAAGCCTTGGTTTTCAGTCCTCTTGTAGCCTTCTGAGTAGTTGGCATTTCTGAACTGTCATCAGGCCTGATTTAGGAAGAATTTCTTGGGACTGAACATTCCAGAGAACTTCTTGTATTTTCTGAGACTAAGCAGGAGCCAGGGTGACCTTACTCACTGGGAGGCACAGGCAGTAACCAGAGGCAGCTACTTCGAGCTCTTAAGAGGAGAAAGCCATTCCTTTTACTAGCTGTGTGGCCTTGGAGAAGTTATTGACCCACTCTGTGACCAGATCCCCTACAGGATTTTGGGGAGGAGGGTGAGTCAAAGGCTCTGAGTACTTGGGACCTCATTCAACAGCTGCATTTCCCCAGAGGCTGAGGAAGATAACTGGGTTGCTGGTACAAAGGAGTAGGCCCACAAGTAGTTAAGTCTGAGGTGTTGGGTGGTGTGGTACTGGCCACCCCTCACCGGCAGGAAATGTTGGGGTGAGGTTGACAGGCCAGAGCTGCTGGCTGGGGACTTGTTCACTAATGAGGGATAAAGGACCTGCAGCTGTGCCCCACCTGGACCAAGAGTATGGTGGGGGTGGTGGGAGAGTGACTGCCAGAGAACAGGGAATCCCTTCCTCTGGGTACCCAGCCAGAGGAAGAAGGAGCTGACTGGCCTGGGCCCTCTGTGGCTTCGGTTTTGCTTCTAAACTGGGCTCTTGGGCACTTGAGTGGCTTCACTTTTCTCTTTTGAGGCTTAAGATTGTAGGTTTGTGGAGAGGTGAACAAAGGCGGACGTGCTTTGCCGACCATAGGTAGTACCAACACGAGTGTCACCACAGTGCTAAAGCCATAGATCTTACTGCACATGCCTTAAAGAGTGTTTGCTCTTTGTGTCCCCTCACCCTTAGGAGGGTTTGGCATAACGTTCCGAGAAAGCACTGGACTGGGCATGGTGAGCACATCTCTGATACCAGCACTCTAGAGGCAGCAGGATAAGGAGTTGAAGGCTAGTCTTAGCTACATAGCGAGTTAAAGGCCAGCCTGGGCTACATGAGACCCCTGACCCACCCCTAAATCATATGTACTAAGTAGATGAAAAGACAGTACCATTAAAACTGTACTTGCCTGGGATGGATAGTGAGCCACTGGTCAGCTGTGTCCTTACCCTAGTCACCTTGGGTCACTCAATCTGATCAGTGAAGGCTTGAACAAGGGATTCACAGTCCCCAGCAGTGGTGACCAAATGCATCTCAAGGGCTAGTTTCCCCTCCTGATTTTTGAGATGGGATGAGCCCCTAGCGTGGTGTCTGTTTTATAATTAAAAATTTTAATAATTAATTAATTTTGACAATTTCCCCTCCCTCTACTTCTCCCAGTTCCTTCCATTTTTGTCTCTCTTTATGGGAAGTAGCAACCAAGCCTCTTCTGGCCTGCAGACAAGGTCTTGTTGAAGGCCACTGACCCCATCCTTTTCTGTAGAGAGCTCCTCAGTGGAGAGAGACTTGGGCCAAGGACTGGCCGATAGCTGCGCTAGAGTCTGGGAGCCCTGCTGGGTAGGCTCTGCAGACAGGAGTCTATAAGAGAGTGGAACCATTTCCTAAGAGCAGATGCTAGGCCCCCACCATGGCTTCTCTGAGCAGCCACTTCTGTGAATCATGATGAGGGTGGAAGAAGTCTTTAATGACCCCCTTTGGGGGGGATTGAGTGACCCATTCACAGGGTCGCCTAAGATCATCGGAAAGCACAGATATTTTACATTATGATTCATAACAGTAGCAACATTGTAGTTACGAAGTTGCAACAAAATAATTTGGTGGTTGGGATCTCCACAACATGAGGAACTGTATTGCAGGGTCGCAGCATTAGGAAGGGTGAGACCACTGGGCTAGTGTGTGTATTTGTGGGTGGGAGTTCAGCTCTACAGCAGCTTTGGAGAAGACTTTGGCTGACTGATCTAGGAAATACATCAGTAATTTGTGTGAAGCTCTTTCCAGTTCATACAGCCTATTTCAATTTGCCAAGTGTATTACTGTCTCCCAAACACTTTGCCTTCCATCCCCTGTGACCTCACTCCCCTCTTACATGCCTGCTTTGAGGCTGACAAGACACCCCAGTTTACAGATAAAAATCCCGAGGCTCTGAATGGGGGAGAGAGTCTCTCAAGGTAGTGGGTAGCACCACTGAGACCAGAGACCTGGTCCCTTGACTCCTACGACTATGCCTTCCCTTCTGACACCCTTCAGGCTTCTTCCCAAAGATGTGGTTGACTGGTGTCCTGTGGATTTGCTACCTGTTCCTAGGGAGAGCACCATGAGGACAGTAGGAAGGGAGCAGCTCCCTTGGCCATTAAAACTACCATCATCATGCTGGGCGGTGGGGATGCATGCCTTTAATCCCTGCACTCAGTGTGGGGGGGCAGGCTGAGGCAGGCAGATCTCTATGGATTTGAAGCCAGAATGGTCTACAGAAATAAATCTAGAACAGCTAGGACTACACAGAGAAACCAAACCCCAACAACAACGAAACTACTGTCACTAATCTGAACCTTGATAGTACTGACCGCTTCTTGTCCTACCAATCTGGTACTGCCTGCTTGTACACAAGTGAAAATCTGATGGCCACGTGCTCCCAGCTGTTGACCATCAGATTGACACAGGTCCTCAAACACCGAAGCAGGGACTCCAGACAGCTGGTCTGGATGCTATGTTAGCACTCCAGACAATCTTGGGATCTTTGTGATGATAAATAAATCCCTGTTAGTTGCCAAGACAGAACTGGGCCATGCCCAAAATAGAAGGAGAAGAAAGGATACCAAAATTCCTGGAAATCTCCTTCCTGGAAGGATTGATGACTGCAGATGACCCCTTACCCCAATATCACAGCCCTAGTAAACATACAGGCTCCAAGTCTACTGGGGGAGATAGTCCCTCTAAGTGTGAATACCCCTTCTCTACCGACCATCGCGTATAAATTCCTTTCTGTTCCTAGAACAATCTAGTAATTTGTGAATGGTATTGTGTGGGGAGAAAGAGTCTGTCAGTTTGGTAACAATACCCTGTAGGGAGATTTTGATTTAGTTATTTATATTTACACATTTATTTATTTATTTAGAGACAGGGTCTTGTGCAATCCAGGATGGCCTCCAACTTGCTATGTAGATCAGGCCAGGACTTGAATTCTTGATCCTCCTGCCTCCATCCCCAAAATAGTGGTGTTATAGTTATGTGCCACAACATCCAGCCACAGATCTTTTTTTTTTCCCCCAGATAGGGTTTCTCTGTATTGTTTGGAGCCTGTCCTGGAACTCTGCTCAGTAGACCACAGAGATCCACCTGCCTCTACCTCCCGAGTGCTGAGATTAAAGGCGTGCGCCACCACTGCCTGGCCATAGATACATTTTAATTCTCATCATTTGGCATATGAAGAAAGGAACTTTAGTCAGGCATGGTAGGCCACATCTGAAATCCCACCACTCTGGAGGCTGACACAGGAGGATTGCTGTGAGTGTGAGTTCAGCCTGAGATATAGAGGAAGACTCTGTCACAGTAAATATACAAACAAACCAACAGGGAAAAAATAAAAGGAAGGAGAAACGAAAGGGAAGCCGGGGTGGGGGTGGGGGTGGGGGTGGGGGTGGGGGATAGCTCAGCCAAGCCAAATGTTTATCTTGAAAGCATGAGGACCTGAATTTGATCTTCACGTAGAAAAGCTTGTCACAGGGCACATACTTATAATCACAGTGCTGGAGATAGAGACAACTGTATCTTCAGGCCTCACTGTCTAGTTGGCCTAGCCTATTTAATGTAAGACCCTGTCTCAAAAGATAAGGCAAATTTAACCTGAGGAACAACACCCAGAGCAGCTGACCTCTGGTACACACACTTTCATATACACATACATGGTCATGCCTGGATCAGAGTAGGGTCCCCAGCACACAGGAAAATTGGTTAATTCTGGTCCTGGCCTGGGATTGAATCTTTAACAAAGATCTCCATTCATCAGTGGATAACTTGGTTAGCACAGGGCTATGACTACAGGGACTTTGGTTCAGAGTCTTCATGACCAGGATCTCTGATCCCTTCATTTGACCTCTGTTTTTCTCACATCTTGGAGAAATGGCAATGAGAACACAATAAGGGGATATTAAGAGAGTCTGGCCACTATGGCTGACCCAGCTTGGACACCAATATGAGGCAACGGGGAGCCAGAACAGGAGGTAACTCATTTACTAATTGAGCACCTACTATAAGCCTATAAGCTCAATGCTTTCCTGCTAG